AAGGTACAGGATAGTTCTAGAAAATAGGTGGCGCCACACCAGTCACGTGACCTCGATGACGCAACAATACTTATCCACAGTTTGCGTTCAATGCACCACTAACAACTTTGTTCCTGTTTGTATCTAAGATAGGTTGTTTTCGAACTTATTGTCGGCTGCCATATGACAGTTTTAATAATGCTTTTAGCATAGTAAGGCTAGAAATACTAAAATCTATTGCGCTTTTCAGATCTATTCAATCGTCTTCTATTAGCCATCAGGAGTTGACAGCCATGTTTGTTTCTAGTGATAGACATTATCCTTTGAGATTACCACAGTTGATAAAATCTGATGACAGATATGTTTAAACAAAACTATATGTGATAAAAACACTCCTACCAGACGGGCTCCCACTTCATGCCCTTTGAAAGTTGATGAGACCCTTGTTCTTACTCGCTCTGTAACGAATTTGTTGTTATGTATTTATTTTAATGTGAGCGTTGTTTGTATTTGGAAACATACATAGCTTGTACTGTTAGATAGGTATTGCGAAACTCCCGCCTATTCTCCAAAGTTGAAGAAGATTCTCGAGAGTAAGAATTAACAATATATGTATGTAAGTAAACGTTTAAAATGTAACTTGCATTGTTACGTAAGACTGAAATTTCTAGAACGCTTTCACACAGGTATAAATATAACCAACGCGCCAAAAAAAGTGTCTATTATTAGTTCGCTATAATCAGTGTGCTATAAAACTTCGAAAGCTATAACTGTGATTTTTATAACGCTTATCAATCGGAAAACTTAAGATATCTGACTGGGAATATTTGTAAATTTCGAACGTTACAAATCATTTAGCTTCAGTGGATTCTCATCGGACATTAGTATTTTTTATGAAAACATTACCTAACTTCAACGGTGGAAAAATCGTCGTGTGATCAGTGAGAGACAAAGCTAGCTAGCTTCCCGTTAAGTGAAATATATCTCCGTCAACTCGTAATTAACTCGCTCATCGTAGACCCTCGATAAGATATCAAGGAAGTTCCAGACTAGAAAGAAGACTTTATATTGTTTGTAAGTTTGTGAAACTTTTGTATATAAATCATTGTTTGTAGTAACTATTTGTAATAATTGTTATTGTAAATTGTACTGTTGTGTGTATATTAAAACGTATTTATGTTGAAAACGAAAATGGTGTGTATCAGTCTTGTTGGCAAATATCGTAAATTGACTAAAATATCGGCATATATTTAAATACTAAATCCAAAGTACAATTTAACTACTAAGTTTAGATTATCTAATCATGTATTTGAATACATATTAGGTTGTGTGCAATCTAACATCGACTAAAATGATTGTCTCATTCAATAAAGGCTCCCTTTAAAGAAAGGGACTTGAATGTGTATCAATAAATCCTATTTTTCAGTTGTCTTGGCATCTCCCTGCTCTTTACCTCCAGCAAGAAGGATATTAAACTTTTAGCAGGATACTAGCATTTACAAGATAGGGGCAACAGGTTCTTTAGGAACTACAGTTGTGGCTTAATGAGCTTTAAGTTCCTGAAAGAAACCAATATATTTGGATAAGCCGTAAATAGAAAGCACGAGACCCGTTTACTCCGGTAAAGTTCTGGTGACATGTAACTTCTTCACCGTTACTTTGAAATAAATAGTATTGGCTATTTAATTAATTTAAAGGCACTTGACTGACTAGTAATCTTCTTATCCTAATATTCGATTATTTTATTTACCGTTGTTTAGTTTGGTGAAAGTTTTCGTTACTTGCTTACTAATAGTCCACGTCATGTAGGGACTCCACCTAGAATTATCGGCGGACTCCATATGGACCCATACGCTTTGTAGATATTTTTAAGAAACTATTTATCCAAACTGTTTATTTTCTGATTCCAGAGTCCCTAATAATACGTAAAATTGTTTGTTTGTTTGAAGTTAAGCACAAAGTTACACCATGGGCTATCTGTGCTCTGCCCACCACGGATATCGAAACCCGATTTCTAGCGTTGTAAGTCCGCAGACATACCGCTGTGCCACTGGGGGGCTAATACGTAAGTAACACACGCTTCCACCCTATGGTACCGTGGGTGCTTTATAATAGCGACAGCCAAATCCTACTATTCAGTCAGACAACAGTATTCCAAGAGTTGTCGGCGAGTAATGTTGACTAGTTGCCTTCGCTATAAACTATCAGTTCAAAGTGCGTAGACAGCCCTTTGTGAAGCTTTGCGCGAAAATTCTAAAAGAAAGCAGGAACCAACATAAAACAAATATGGTGCAATAGGTGTACCCTACCGGTCGTGAATGGTATTTAAAGAAATCGGTAATTTGGTGATCAGTCATCTAGTTTATGTCATTTATGATACAGAGCAATGGCTTTATACTTATTCTGAAGCATTGCAAGATTTTAGTTTCACCAAAACATGCCGCTTTAAATGAACATCAATATAATCTTTTAACAGAGCATTTAAAAGAAATTTTAGATAAAAATAATAGAAAATACCTCTCTCTAAACATATTTATTTTTTTCTTTACCCAGTACAAACCGGTTTACGTGCGCAAGAACATTCTGTGTTTTCTCGATTTGACACCAGATGGTCGTTTTTTCTTAAAACGATTTTCACAGTTTTCGTGTTCCTTTATTTCAACACGCTGTAGTGTAGCTACATTTGGTTCGCTACACAGTTAATGTTATGCAAATATTGGAAAACAAATCTCAGTCAGTTCCCTCTGTAAAATGTTCAAAAATTTCAGTAGTATTTTATTTTTTATTTAACTGAAGGAGAATTCACAGTCGTAGGCGTGAAGTATTTTATGCTTCAGAGTTTTCTTTTTTAACTAACCTCTATGATTTTCAGAATTCGTGGAAGAACGGTGATTCCGGTCTTGAGTGTCAGAACAATGTTGGTCTGTTTAGGTACATTAGCTTCTTCATCAGGGCATTCAGTTACTAAAAATACCTGAAATAAAAAAGGGGACTGAATCAAGTCATTACACGTAAAAAGAAGCATCTGCAAGGTGCGTAACTTTTAATAAAAACATATAATATCTAAGTTTATCAGTGTTTTACCTTCTACTGTATGCTCATCTGCTTTGTTTTTAAGCTTAAAAACAAAGCAGATGAGCATACAGTAGAAGGTAAAACACTGATAAACTTAGATATTATATGTTTTTATTAAAAGTTCCGCACCTTGCAGATGCTTTGGAAACTACAAATAAGTGTTCATACATGTTCGAAGTTAAATATAGACTAGGATACGAAAATTGTCATACCATTTTATCGGTGATTTTTTTATTGTTGTTTTTGTTGCTGATAAACTTATATTTATGATGTGTTTGAATTTCATATATTTATAAAAGCGATTATAATCAAATAAATTATGTGGTATTCGGAGTGGGAATAAGAACAAAACTGAATATCATGGGTTTTATTTTCATAGAAAATATTTAGGGGGTGTATTAGGCAAGGAATGCTTTATGTCCCTTGATACAAATACTAGTCTACATCTTCACCAAAGGTTCTCTAATTATATAGAAGTCGGTTCTGGGAATTTATACACTCTGTAGTTAAAGAAAAAATAAACGGTAAATATTTAATTTTTTACAAATTTAAGTAGCCAAGGTGATCAAAGTGACGAAATAATATATCCACGTAGCGTAAATATACACCACTAGATGGCAATAGTGTTATTAAAGCTCTGTATTTTCTTGTTGACATGGGTAATTTTGATATTATAAGAAGCTTGGTATGCACTGGAGTTCAGGTATGATAAAATGTAAATCAGAATCTATGTAAAATGAGTTGAGTAGCGACGCGACGGTGACGCAGTGACACTGTGTCGTCGTTATTTACTTAACAAATAGGGATCCCCCGTAGTTCACTTTAGTCTTGGACATTTCTGTGAAATACTAGTGTATCTTTATATTGAGAAACTGCTTCAAAGGAAAATATTTCTTAAAGGGCCCAGGAGCCCTCATAACCTATTAGTACCTCTGTAATCTCCCTTTTAGTTTTGTCGTGTCTAACTACGTTACTAGTAATAAGGCAGTTTTAGCATTTTAACGGAAATAATATACGTGTTAATTTAAAAGTATTCCTTTCTCTGCCTTTGGTTACTTTTAATAAAGTAGTAGTTTGAGAAAAAAAATATTATTGTGTGTTTCTTTTACATAAAACAGTCTATTATTTTCACACTAAAACTATCAATACCGTAAATCAATAATTCAGATCCCGTCAGACTTGTTGATCATAAGTGGCTAAGAAATTATTATTAAAAATAGTCATTTTCCGCCAAATCAACAAGAGGATGACCATTACAATATCTCTGTTTTGATTGTTTAAAGACGTTTCTCGAGTTAGGCCACGATCCAGCTTCAACTAAAACGGCCGATAGTACTCACTAGAATTTCTGTCATTATTAACATCTACACAGTACTACTACGTCTACTATATACTCGCTTCTCCTCTTTCATCTCGTATTTTACCGCAAAAGTTAACACACACATTCATAATCTAGTGTTAATGAAAATATATATTAACTCGTACATAAACAGTGGTGTGAGAACAAAATGGAGGAGGAGCAAATAGCTCTTATAAGGCATTAATATTTTCATAACTTTTCAGAATCAGTAATAATTAGATTACTATGTTCTTGCAACTGTGGCCACAGAAGTTAACAACGCTATGTAACTTGGTAGTAAGGCAAAGTTTACCTCTTCCTCTGAGAGATCCTCATCTTGTGAAACACTGCGTTGTTCTTGAAGCCAGGTCTGCTTGGCTTCCTTGTTCTTCAGCGTCTCGAACTTGGCGTCATCCACAAGTGAGCGGCGTCGAGCCGGGTAGCCATGCTATAATGCATATCTTTTTAACTAAGTTTGTTCGAATTGCATGACAAAATATAAATAATAATTTTCATTAAAGAAGTTATTATTCCGATTTCTTACTTATTGCAGTAAAGTTTCAATAAAACAATTTAGACAATGGGCCAATGTACACTAGAACATTAATGTAACCTTAATCACTAGGATTTGGAAAGATCACTTTTATAATATTTTTTTGTTCGTGGGTTCCAGTGAACTTATTTCAATTAATGGTTTCAAGCAACTTTGCATTCTTAAGATTTATACGCTATTTATTTTTCGGGCAGCTTATTTCTCATTAAACAAGTTGATAAATGCAGTTAATAGACAACTGGAAAATTTGATATTCGTGGTATGACTATAATGTAGTTCAAACTATCCTATTTAAGTATAAGCTTAAATTCTCCGTTATTTACGTACAGAAAACAAAAACTGAAACCTTGGAAAGTATTAAGATTCTTCACTTCAACTTTACAAAAGTATAGTTCTATAAAACACACCTGTTCTGTATACATATTCAATCATCGTTGTATAAAACACACCTGTTCTGTACACATATTCATCTTTAACTCTGCCTGTTCCAAACAAGACTGAATCAAAGAACAAACTGATAACTACTAAATATTAATTTGAAGAATAACTTTGTCATGTGACAAACTATAGAACTGTTATTTACGAATAACATCACAGTAAATAGTTTTATAAAACTACACAACATTTCACCATGTTAACTTGGCATCATAAGATGAAATGTATGCTATTACGTAAACTGCATAATACCGGGTTAACCTGGTAAAAGGTTGTGTAGCTTTAAATATTTTGTACTTTAGAATCTATTCCTATATCATCACCGTCTAAAAACGGCGATCTAGTTACAAAATATATTTTTCCCATTCGGTATCTAGCATACATATATTAATGTTCTATCCATAATAATATTTTATTGTGGTTGGGATTTCGGTATTAAATTCTATTATGCGACAGAAATATAGTAAATTCTATATAAGTTGTTATCAGTCATCTAATAGTAATAGTATAGTGAGTTATGGTAATGGTAGGAATTTCATGTAGTATAAAAAAGCAATGTATATAATGTGTTCTATTTCGTGTGCAACATACATGCACTAACTTTCATCTAGAAATATTATACATTCCACGTATTATGTGATATAAATGTGACGGACTCTGTATTTATGGAATAAAAATGAATTTATATTGTTTGGTAGATATATATGGAGGATTTATCAATTATTTGATATAAAAGTATTGTAATTACCACGCATTTTATGACACATTGATTTCAAAATCATTTAGTGGGTTTTAAAGTTAATAGATCCTCTGCTCATGTGACAGAAATGAAATAAACTATATCTAGTTTGGAATCGGAATGGAATGAAATAAACTATACCTAGTTTGGAATCGGAATGGAATGAAATAAACTATATCTAGATTGTAATCGGAATGGAATGAAATAAACTATATCTAGTTTGGAATCGGAACGGAATGAAATAAACCATATCTAGTTTAGAATCGGAATGGAATGAAATAAACTATATCTAGTTTAGAATCGGAATGGAATGAAATAAACTATATCTAGTTTGGAATCGGAATGGAATGAAATAAACTATATCTAGTTTGGAATCGGAATGGGATTATTGCTAATCATCTATTCTGTGAATGAAATGTGTTGGAAGTTTTATAAATTCCATTTAAAAAACGATACTAATACGACCATTGTTTTAGTTTTTAGCACAAATCTATACAATAGACTATTTGCGCTTTGTTACTGCGTGGCATCGAACCCCAGATATCGGCAATGTAAGTTCAAAAAGTTACCGAGAGACGGTAATTAATGCAGATTTCTGCAGGTTTTATTTAAAATGAATATCGTGTATGTTATGTTAGAGAATGTATTGGTTTAAATGGAGTGATTTTAGTTGGTTGCGAATCCCCGTCACACCAAACATGCTCGCTCTTTCAGCCATGGGGGCGTTATAATGTGACGGTCAATCCCACTATTCGTTGGTAAAAGAGTAGCCCAAGAGTTGGCGGTGGGTGGTGATGACTAGCTGCCTTCCCTCTAGTCTTACACTGCTAAATTAGGACGGCTAGCGCAGATAGCCCTCGTGTAGCTTTGCGCGAAATTCAAAACAAACAAAACAAACAATTTAGTTGGTTGCATTGAATGTGTTTGTCACAAACATAATGAATTGTAATTACTATGTATTGGAGTCTATTTCCTAAAATTGCAAATGTTACTATTGATTATGCGAGATAAATGCAAATGTTACTATTCCTTATGTAAATAAATTATGTTGTATTCAGATACACTGATATTCAACAGGTAGCCAAACGTTTCTGCAGGACTGTTAAGTTTATAATAAATTGAACAAGACTAGTTAAGGAAAACAAGCAAACACAAGTAGACAAATAAAACAAAGTATCTGTTCACAAGAATAGTGTCTGTTTATGTACTTCGGTTAGTGTCTGGCTTCTAACTTTTTCTTCTGTTAGTAACATTGGTGCTGGAGAAGCTTTCCGCGATCGGCCTGCAGACTACGATCGCTGACATCAGCGGTCATTTACTTGTTTAACTGCAAAAGGTGAAGTTAACCGCAAGATGATACCTTTGTTCATACGGTCAGTGGTTGACGCTATATTTTCAAGCCGATGCCCATAAAGTGCAATACATTATTTTAACAAACTTCTAAATTGATGAGCATCGATATTTCTATTTTGCTCTTTTACTGGAACTCTTTTTGATTCGAAAAGTATTAGACCATAGTATGGTTGATTCAATAATAAATATTAAAGTAAAACCTTTATTATGAAAATTTAAATATTTTAACAAGAAAGATATTTCAAAATATATATATTTTTGAGGCTTGCAACTGGTTCCGATATTTATGTAAATTATATAACTACATCTTAAGTAACGATGATGCAAGTTAAATACTTATAATAAATTAAATGCAGTTAATGTTAATTACTTCATAATTTTTGAACTTTTAGAATATATTATTTATTGCCAACGAATTTATTTTTGTCTAATTGTATCATTCCTATATTTCAGTTTTTGACAAATTTCTAGTATCCCTTCATGTAAAGCCCCAGGAACCAATAAGCCTTTATATATATGGATGTGTGTGTGTGTGACACGACAATCAAAAATAGAAGTTCTAGCCTTACTCGAGACCGTTACTGTGGAACCCAGATAATTATGTCACATTCTTTTAGCATCTCTTTGTTTTTATGCTGGTTTTCATACCAATGACATTATGAATACTATCCATTATTTGCGTTGGTTTTAATTTTTGTCAGCTGTCATTTCTGAACTGTTATAAAATGGACTTAATATCAAGAATTAAAGCTGTGTTTCATTTGTTAGTCACATTCACACAAATATCTGTTCTCACCTTCGTTCATTCTAGTTAATTTTTATTGGTCTGATGATTATTCTATCTGTAACTGTAATAGGAAATCGGATTATATCAATCCAGTCCTTTCTTTGTAGTTTAGTGTAATAATCCGTGTTTCCCCAAGATCTACTTTAACACGTCTACAATTTACATTCCAGAACAAAAAAGTTGGGGAAGGTTGTGCAGTAAGTTATTTGGTAACTTATGTACATGCATATTGTCAATGTTTTTTGTTTTTTTCACGTTTTGAGATTTGCTTGTAATCACTCAGGATGAAATAGATTTCAAAAACTAAAAGGACAAAGGTTATCATGTTAGTGGGCAAATATATCACATTCACAAAAAAGACCATTGAAGACTTGTCTCAACCAAAATTTAGATGAAACTTTTATTCATGACGAGAGTATAGGTTATATGACGAGAATATCTATCTCTCTATCTAAGCTGCAGTCATCCTTCGTTCGATATAGTGGCAAAAGCAGGAATCAGATGGCACGGTATGCTAAGAATAGGAAATACTGGACTAGTCTGACGGAGAACTACATCCAACGAGGGATGACTGAGAACTACATACAACGAGGGATGACTGAGAACTACATACTGCAATAAGGTTCATTCTAAGAACTAAATGGAAATGGGCTGGGCATGTAGCAATGTATTTTGATAATAGGTGGACATTAAGAACAATGGAATGGCAACCTAGGATAAGGAAAAGATCTAAGGGAGGACAAGAGAGAAGATGGAGGGGTCTATGATATTTGTTGTTTTTCTTATCTGTCTTGTAGTGTTATATGAAGAACTTTTCTTTCTATAGCTCTTTGTGTGGTTTCTATCTTTTTTCCTTATCTCTCTTTTGTTAGTGCCCATGTTTGGCAGCCATATGTTAAGGTTGGTAGTACACATTGATCCATGATCTTTTTCTTCAAAGTAATGGGAATATCTTAATCAGCTAGAATTTCTTTATACATTCCAAAATATCGCCATGTTACCTTTATTCTTACCATAATTTATTCCCTTGTTATGTTTTCCATTTTGAGGGTTTGTCCTAAATATTTGTACTCTGACACTTTATTTCTTCATTTTCAACTTTAAAAGTATCTGTGTCATGATAGTTGGTCATGTATTTGGTTTTTCCCTAATGTATTTTTAATCTTGCTTTGTTGCTATTATCATTAAAACTATTTAATAGGGCTTCCATCTGTTTTGTTGAATTTGTAAAGAGAGCTACATCATCTGCAAACCTTAGATCTGTTAATTCTCACCATCTATTTTTATACCTTCATTCTCCAGCTCAGTTTGCCTGAATACTTCTTGCAAAGTTGCTGTAAACAGTTTCGGAGATATTGGAGCACCCTGTCTCACTCTACTCTCTGTCTTTATCACTGATGATACCTCCTTATCAAGATGTATTTTTGCTGTTGCATATGTGTGAATATTTCTTAAGATTTCGATGTACGTTAGATTGACGCATATTGTAGCTAAAGCATTTAATATTGCGCAGTGTTTTACAGAGTCCAATGCTTTTTCCTAATCTTTTAATGCCACACTTAAAGGTAAGTTGTATTTATT